CGCGTCCGAGGGCCCTCGGGCGCCAGCTCTCCGCGAGCCGGCCCGCTGGAGGAGGGATTTTGGAGTGAGAGTCGGCCCTCTGCGGAAGGCCCCGGATTCGGGGCTCTCAGCGAAGCCTCCGCTCCAGGGAGCCGGTTCGTTATAAGCTCGCGTGCGGTGTTGGGGGTTCGGGCTCCCCGTCTCCTGTGTAGCGCCGAGAGCTGTTGTGCAGGCGGCACGTGTCGGCGGCTGGTGCTGAAGAGGCAGAGTGCGCCCCGGCCGGCCCTCTCTCTCCGTGACTTCCAGAGGCTTAATTTAGGGTCCCTCAATGTAACGCCCCCAAACGGCTTCCAAACTCATGGCCTCAACCCTTCCCGCCGCTCAGGTCTCGACCCTAGTCTGTCCCGGCCCAATATCGTCCGGTCTGCTGCTCCTTCTCTGCCCTGGGACCCGGCCTCCGGCCTCTTGACCACGCAGCACCGTGGGTAAGTGGATGGCCTGGATTCAGACCCCAGCCCTGCCCCTTTGCCCGTGGTCACGCTACCTGAGCTTGCCTTGTTAGGTTCCTCATCTACAACGCGGGCATGAAAATAACCATACAGGGCTTTTGAGAGGTTTTAAGTAAGTTTATATTTAAGGTGCTGATAACAGTGCGTGGTAAATTATCTGTGTGTCATTTGTTATCACTTGCTACATTGCAATCACTTTTGTATCATTTATTTGGTAACATTGTTGTCTCTTAATATAAGCTTTAAGGAGCCACAGGCTTTGTTCAGGTCACTCTATCTTTGGTGCCTAAGACAGCGCTTGATGAAGTGGCGGGGGAGGGGAATGGTAGATTGCCTAAAGAGGAAAAACAGGGGCACATTTAAGATTTCTTAATTAGCCATCAGTTACCAGTGATGCATATACTAAAATGGTGCTACAAGTGTCTTTCTAACCTCTTTCTGCTATGACATTTGGGGAAATTGCTGCTCTCATACAACACTCTGTTGTTGTTTACATTGTCGATTGATAAACAATCTTTTCTGTAATTCATTTGATAATACATAGAAATCCATTTGCCACTCTCCTTTGAACCCAGTTAAGCCAAGTCCTTGGGATATCCTTGAATAACTTGGGGAAAAAGAATATATTCCTGAAAATGTGCCTTCCAGCATTATTTATGATAGTAAAAATTAGGAACAACCTAAATATTCTATGATAAAGGTAAATAATAAAGATGTTATGGATCAGAAGCGGAAGTGAATATGAATTAATGGAAGCACATTAAGATGGAGGAATATGCAATTACTTTTTCTTTTGAATGGTTCCTTTACTGTCAAAATAGTATTGTTTTAATACTACTTGATAGTATTAAACCTAATGTCATATTTAATACTGTTTAATAGTAAACGTTGAAAAAATCCACACAAACTACTTCTCTCATGAGACTATTTCTTAGCACTCTTTGCAGCAGGCTAGAAAAAAAATTAATTGGCTCTTTGAGCCTGCCCCAGAGTCATAATTTTTCTTGAGCTTCCCTTATTTCTGCTCTCCAGGAGTTCCTGCACAATCCTGGCTGATCCCTTATTGTGATACTTAGTCAGCCTCGTGTGCATGATTTGCAGAATAGTGTGCATGATTTGCAGAATAAATTGGGAATTACTCATGCATATGAATTAATGCATCTTAGCTCTTAGATTCTCTTAAGGAAGTATTCTTTGAAAGTGTGGTTTATTTATTTTTTGTTTTGTTTTGTTTTAAAGATTTTATTTATTCATTTGACAGAGATAGATACAGTGAGAGAGGGAACACAAGCATGGGGAGCGGGAGAGGGAGAAGCAGGCTTCCCCCGGAGCAGGAAGCCCGATG